GTTCCTAGGTGACGCGTTCCTAAAAATGGCCACAACGATATCGCTGTTCACATTAATCCCAAATAAGAATGAATTCGAATATCATGTGGAGCGCATGATTCTAATTTGCAACAAGAATCTCTTCAATCACGCAGTGGATAGAGGCTTACAGGAATACGTGAGATCCAGAGGCTTTGATCGACGCTCGTGGTACCCAGATCTCGTACTGCGGAAAGGAAAGAAACACAAGCCAGTCGCACTTACTCATAGACTGGCGGATAAATCTATCGCGGACGTGTGCGAAGCTCTTATCGGTGCCGCCTACATGACAGAACCAGAAGGCATGAATTTAGCTGTTAAGGCGGTCACTAAAATGGTGCAAAGCAGGAACCACAGGATGACAAAGTATAGCGACTACTACGAGGGATATGTTCAACAGGCTTGGCAAACTATCCCACCGCGTCCCATTGAAGTTCTTGCGGCGGATAAGGTTGAGGGATCTATTGGGTATAAGTTTCGGTCACCAAAACTTCTACGAAGCGCATTCAAGCATCCGTCATACCCATATGAGCCAGAACTTCCAAACTACCAAAGGCTGGAATTTCTAGGTGATGCACTCCTTGACGTGGCTATCGTTGACTTCTTGTTTCGACGATACCCATTAGCCGATCCGCAGTGGCTTACAGAGCACAAAATGGCAATGGCCTCGAATCACTTTTTCTCTTTTCTTTGTGTAGAGCTTGGGCTACACAGGCACATCTTAAGCACAGGCTCATCCATGATGGGTCATATTGCCGGCTTTGTCGAACAAATCGAGAAGGCAAAATTGCAAACTGAGGACGGGGTCCTGCAGCTGGATTTCTGGCTAAATACGGAACATCCTCCCAAAGCACTTTCGGATATTCTAGAAGCGGTTGTGGGAGCAATGTACGAAGACTCCAAATACGATTACAACTCAGTTCGCGATTTCTTCACCAAGTTTATTGCACCACATTTTCAAGATATGACGTTATACGACACCTACGCTGCAGGGCATCCAGTCACACAGTTGACCAAGCTCATGCAAGACACCTTTTGTTGCCGATCATGGCGACTTTGCGTTTCGCCCGTACCCTGTGGTTCAGATACAGGGGCGTCAGCAATCATGGACAGCAATGTGGTCTGCGCACTGATGATACACAGGAAGAAAACTTTTCACAGTATACAAGGGAGTGGAAAAGATGCAAAAATCGCCGTGGCAGCAGCTGCTCTGAAGCAGATGAAAGATTTGGACGGGGATGCGTTTCGGACAATGACGGGCTGTGATTGCGGAATGGTAGATTGATTGATTTGGTGGGTACGAGCTGCAACCATGGATAGTTATGAGGGATATTAGGTTACAGAGAAATAGAAAAGTGTCAGCGCTCGGGTCTGATGATGGCTTTGTTCTACCTATGGTTTTAAAAGGAGCTAGACTCGAAAACTATAATATAGATGATGTGCCTAAGAGACTGCTCATTCTTACGTCCGTGACTTGGTGACTACAAGTCCAACTACGCATTATCTTTCGTATCATAGATTTTAGTGTCTGGTGTTCCGAGAGAGCTGGACGTGTACGCACTGCAGTCAGGGGCAAACAATGTTGAACCACATCGGGTACCTGGCTATCGCGCCCAATACTATAATGTACCACAGTGTATTAGTGTTTATTTCTTGATAGTCAAACATATTTTGCCAGAGATTGTAGATTCTGCTGATGATGGCGGCTTAGCAGTTCTCCCAACGGAAGTCTCAATGACTCCTTTTCCGGGCTTATAAGCGCGCGGCAGTCCTCTTGAAAGCTCTGTATGTCGTAAGAGTCTTCCGTCCGGGGACATGTCAAACCGACAGTGTCCCTTGGCCATCATGTGCTGGATGCCTTCAACGGTGGTGCTGCGGCGCCCGCACAGAATACAGGCGCGATAAAAGCGACTAAACAGACCGAGGTACTAGATGGTCGAGGTCTACAGCTAGCAACCTTTGATGGGGTACGAAGAAGGTGTGGGCGGCCGCCATGTGTGCCATGTTGTTGCCGAAGGCATTGGAGATTTGGCCGCAAAAGGGGCTACGACAAGGGCTAAAGTCTGTCGCTGTGTAGTGTTGCAGCTCGCTGTCACTGTCGCTGTGTATTGATTCCTTATTTGAACTTGAATCAGGCTCCATTACGTCGTGTGCCGAGACGTCTGACATATCGCGAGGATTGGCAATCCGTCTGTCGGGCGGCAAGACAATTGCGCCTCGTTCGGGAAAACTTGGTCGCTGCATCTCCCCAGTAAGCACTGGCGTGTGAAGTCTCAGCTTACTGTCATTTATTTTTATATGCTGTCCCCACGCTCTCCGTTTCTGCCAGTTTAATATCATATGGACGACAAAAAGTAGGAGGTTGAGGTGGAGACGAATTCACCGGGTCTGGTAATGAGGTGAGCTATTAAAAATGCTGGCATGGGTGTAGCCGCGGCGCGTTGCGACTTCAACGTGCCATTGGTGTGGCGGTCGGTACAGTGATGCCGAAACTGGAGACGGAAGGGTCGTCAGATTAAATCCGCAGTTGATACGCGCTCTCTGCACTAAAATGTTATAATATAACTACTAGTGTAACGTATTCGTGGGTAAAAATATTCTACCAAACTGCAACCAAGCTATATCAAAGAGACGCGACAGGCCGTGACGTGGCAAGGGGGCCATCAGTAGAGCGCTGCTTGAACAAAAATGTCAGAGTTGGACACAAATTGTACTTTCAGACTTTTAGAATTCCCACATCATCCGGCCTCGTTCCGATGCTCGACATTACATTTCCGCAGTCGCTGCATCTTGTCTACCCATAGGCTCATCACGCTAGAACTTGAGAAGATCAGCGTTGTTGGCTCGACTCGAGTAGCCGCCCGCCACAGAAGATTCAACCGATGCGGAGGCTCTGGTCTCGCGTTAGTCGCAACCGGCCAAGAATAACACGACTGACGGCTTGACGGAGCTAGACAGTACCAGGTGAAACGCCCATGTCCACGATGTTAACAAGGAATATGCGACCCTTGAGGCGCAAGGTTACGGCCTCGGGATTTTCGGCGCTGTGCTTCCTCTTCTTGCAGCAGATGAGAATGTTTTCGAAAAGATAGACTTGAAACTGAGGCCACGCATGTCAACGCCCCGTGCCAGAAGGAAAATTGGGCACAACGGAACCAGCATACCGATGCCTCTGACTCTGGTCTCGCTCCAGGACGACATCGGAGCGTCTGGAATAATACCAACTTGCCAAAGGTGCTTGGATCCAGGCCCTTCCAGTCTTCTATTCGCTTCAAAAGATGCCCGGCGTCTTGGTCCAGAGACTTTTGCGTCAACGCTTCATTCGCCCTATTCAGAATGACGTGGTATGCCGCAGTCGCCGCTTGCAAGGCCGCACGTTTGACCTCGTCCGCGCGTACTTCATGCAGCAGTTCCTAATCGGCAGTCAGCGCTTGTCAAGAGATTGACAGTCCAGCGGAGCCCGACACACTTTCAGGATGCGAGAGTATCCAGCAAAGCGCGAGTACGGCCACTGAAACGTGTGGTAAATCATGTAGCGGTCCGAAACGAGCTGCAAGACCTCGGGAGGCCCAGCTGTAGTCAGGATTCTCTCGTGCTCCCGAATTGCTGCATTGATCTGAGCCTTATGGTTGGCAATGTACGTGACGTAAATGTCTGAGGCTTTGTCAAGTGTAGAGAATGCCGTGCTCCAATCTTGGTCCTCGTATGGAAGCGCAGAAATGGCCCTCATCTGCGCCAGTAGCTGCTTGTGGAAGTCCAAGAGAGCGTCTACATTTCCAAATATTTCACTGACGGCATCTCCGGGCAGAATTGCTTGGTCGAGCACCAGGTGTTGCAGTGCTGAAAAGCGTTCCAGGCCTTGTACGTATCTGCCCTCTGTCCAGAGTATCTCCGGTATAAGCGATGCATATCTAACTGCTGATTGCGCCGGCTCGATTTGTTGTTGCCTCGATGGAGCTTCCATACTTGGGCTTTGTTGGGTATCACGTCCAAAGTTGCATCTACAAGCCGGTTCTTGATAGCCGTGGCCGTTTTTTTAGGAGTGCGGCAAGCTTGCCGCCAGGAATATTGACTAGACCGAGGGTAGTAGCTCCCAGAATGATTTTTATTTGATCACGCAGGAATACTTGCGCACAAAGGCAAAGTTGGCAGGCTTTAGGTTCAGGCTTTTCGCAAGGCGCCGCCACATTACCTGTCATAGGTCTACCAGCTGCACTACCAAAAGTGGAGAACTCTCCTGGTAGTGCATGCTCGCTATCGTACCTCATATGGTGCCTCAACATTACCACCCTATGCAGTGTCGTCACGTGTGGACATTATACATTGCGTGACCAAATGTCAGCTATCAGCTATCGATGCTGTAGCTTGTCTTTTCTTCGCAAATGTCTCATGGATCAAGGCTATTTGGCTCGTGTATTAGCATGAGCAGGCATCTCGGCAGATGGGAAGCCAGGCTAAAGTGAGCGGTATGGTTTACCGTTTAGGTATTAGTTATGGGAATAGTACGGGCATAATCCCCGTAGGAAAACGTCGTGAGAACCAAGGGTGCAAGCAAGGTTATTAAAGAGCCGCAACTAACACACGCTACTAGCACTAAGAACTTTATTATCTCTAATAAAATTTATAGAAAGAATTTAATAAAGAGAAAATTAATGTAATTCAAGTTTAATATATAAATTACAATTCAATATAAGTTGATAAAAGTCCCAAAACTCATAACCTTCCAGTTGCAGCTCATAATATTTGCGGATAAGATATAAAAGAATAAAAACCTTGACTACTGGACGTTCCTCCAGTTTTGGCAGCCCAACAGCAGTCTTGCACACCCTGCAGAACAATGTGAAACGCGCACGACGGCAATTTAGAATGTGAGCCAGGACCACGAGACACCATGAACATAAATACATGGCACAAAAGTGTGGTGGCCGGATGCTATTTCCAGGGATTCGAGAAATAATCACGCCGAAAAGCTAACACGCCTGTTAGAAGGAATGCAAGTAATAGACATGATAAAACTCACCACCGGGGATCAAAGCACTCGCATGCGTGACATGCGAAATGGGCTTCAATTCCTCATCAATGTGTCCGCCACTTACATCCCAGGACTTTATCAATGTTTCGACCTTGTCTTGGAGCTCCTTGTCTGCCCCAATACAACGAACCCCAAGATACGCGCCAAACTCCCTAAACGCTAGCCTCTTGTATCGTTGCAACAGAGAGCCTCGGGAATGCTCTAGTCGATCTCGTAGCATCCGAAGCGACGTTTCCACAAACTTGTCCGCCCATGGCTCGTCGAGGCAGAACTGACACATCCACAGCCCCATGCCCAAGTCCAAGAAGTCGCTTGTCGGTGCTAGTTTTCCGGGACGCATCATGATGGCCGAGTAGTCCCCAATCTCAGCACGCAGGGACAACTCGTCCCCTTTGCCGTATAAATCGGCCGTCTGTTGCAAAAGCCTGTAGACAGCAAACCCCGTGGCCGCGTCAAGATGACCCTCTGATGGGACCAGAACCTCGTCCATGTCTGTTGAGATTTTCCAGACCATCCGCTTATTCCCCCCGACGTCCGGTACAATGAAGTGAGGGTGGATGGCCTTGCCGAGCTCCATCGCCCAGTTATTGAACTTGGGCTCGCCGGTTGCCACGGACATGCGGTTCAGCGCAAACATCCAGATGGTTAGGTAGTGGTGATATTGGCCGTCGCAGTCAGCCCCAAGTCCGGCCACTTTTCCAATCCGCAGCCCGCCCGTCAATGGCGCATCTTCCGTTGCACCAGGTAGCCTGTGAGATCCATCTCTGGTTCTCCCGAGAATGTCGTGCACGGAATACACCAAGCGGGCTGCAAGGTTGAGATAGCGCACCATCGATGTCTCTTTATACAGGGTCAGAAAGTTGATGACTCCAAACGCATCCGTCCACAAGTATCGACCGCGATGTCCGCCCGCGCCGGGCGAAGCAGGAGGAGTCCATTCTTCCGCGTCTTCGACTGTCAAATTGTCTAGGGGACCGTAAACGGCCTCCATAGCCAGCTTGAAGGAGTCGATGGCATCCATGCTCCCTGTCGTCATTTGGTCAAACTCACTAGGTCATGTTTTGCTTCGTGAGCTGCTTCATGATGATGGCGGTTTACAATCAGGAGCTTCGACATGTGGCGGCGCTTTAAGAAAAAAACAGATTACGTGGATACAAAACTCTAAGCCATTATATTTACGTCCGTAATTTTCGGGGCAGATTTCCACATGATGATTCCATTGGCTGGGAGTACAACGTAAGTGCCCCCCGAGCATCACCATGGTCCGGACTGACCCTGCTCCGTGTTTCCGAGTTTGTTTGGTTATGCTGCTAATGCAATCCTGGGCTCCATCAAAATCAGTCCGACGATAAAATGTACCTTTGGCTGGTATGCCCTCGTAGCTGGCTTCGTCCGCGAGGCAGAAACCCTCGAGACGTTCCGCCGCAAGGCATTCTTTGCTGCATCATCGCTTCGCTAGACACGGCAAAGAGTGGAGAAGAAGGGAAATATCATTTCGGCGGCAAGTCTCCGTACTCGTGCCAAAGCTTGGAAAAGGCGCACATCGCCACACGCATAGATGACGTCACATGCACGATGCGATAATCCTGACGACATGCCATGCAAGAATCCAGGCCAGACCCAACTTATGTCCTGTAATTCGAGCGTGTGGGGTAGACCCTCAACCAAGTCGGCGCCAGGTTGAAGCGTCCAAGATTTGCATTATTTAAACTAGGCTGTTACTCGGCCACCATGGACGAGAGCACGATGCATCCCGTCACGATCCCATTCGTTCAGATCCACCCCTAAAGCTCGAAACCAACCCTCACACATACCCTCAAGAAACAAATAAAAATGGCATCTGTAGCATTCATGTACCACTCGGGTGCATTTAATTTCAAGTATTTTCAAGACGCCCATACGCGGCTCATCTCCGAGTAAGTATTCAGCCAGGTGCCCCTGAGACAGACCTTTCTGCGCACCGCCCACAGCACTCGACATCCGCTTTGTAGTTCGCATCGGTGCTAACTGTGCTTCTCCAAAGGTGCTGGGGACCCGAGGGTCTTGAAAGCTGGGAAGTCACGCAATTCGAGCCTGGCCTGCCTTACATGGCACAGGTGGTACTGAAGTTTGAGTCGATGAACAAATTGGAAAAGGCATTGGCGGGCAACAACTCGATGAGGGTTTTCAACGACATTCCTTGCTTCACCACTGGTCAGCCCCATATCCTGAAAGGTAAAATTAGGGCCTCACACAAAACCACGCTGAAGGAGAAGAAGATTTTCGGCGAGTAGAGACTACGGGCAATTGACTTTTTGCGACAAGGGCTCAGTAAGGGTTTAGAGCAATATCGTAAGCGTTCGATTGATGGGATTGTTTGTCTCTTGCTTTTCTATCCTACCGTGCCTGTTACTCTGGCTATCGTCTTTATTACAGTAATAATCTTAAACTATGTCCGAATTGCTCCTAAAGCTGCAATTTTATTTTGATGCTACTGGAAATTAGTGAATACAATCCCAAAGCAATCCGAGTAAAGGACGTGCCTGAGTCCAGTAGAGCCCATTTATGATGGACCCTTCAACTGGCGTTGTAGTCTATTCACCGAAACAGCACGACTGGCTGTCCTCTGCGGCATATCTGCGAAGTGATATGAATTTCCGTAATTAGTCGAAACCTAACTCTTGTTAGACAGACCGAGTGAGAAATGTAAGAGACGTGCCTTAAATGACTCTAGCACTCCCGTCCTAGTACCACAATTCCGCGTTGACATAGTGACGGATATCAACTGATAAAAAATCGATGACTTCTCCGCCGGGGCCATTAATCTCGAAGTGCATAGTTTTGGCGTATTCGGAAGGCGTGCATCTCGCTAGTTTGCGGCAGTGCAGCGGGACACTTTGGCTGTTGTAGTGGAACTCTATAGATCTCGGGGAGTCCATCTATTGGGAGCTGTATTTATGAGCGCTGTATGCATATAAGTAACCTGATTTAATTAAAAGCTCTGTAATTCACACCTTTTAATGTGTTTTGTTTATAAAAAGATAAAAATATATTACCTTTTAAAAAGTGCTTTATAATATAATATTTTTAATCTAATAGCTTTAAGTAATAATAGTTTTAAATCTTATAAATTTCTTTAATTTTTTTAGAATTTCTTATTTTATAAATTCCCTTTTTATTCTTATATAAAGCGTTTTTATTAATATTTATTGAGGTCTTTATATTATTCTCTAAGTTTTATTAGCTTTAATTCTTAAAGGTTATAATAAGTAACTTATTTGATTTAGCAGCAGGCTCCTAGCTTTCAAATATCTGGCAGTGCCAACACATTATTGGACATGTTCAACCCATTACTCCATATTAGCTGGGATAGTTGTGGGCATTTGAACAATGCCTGATTGAGTGTTTAGGGTCACTATATGCCAAGTCAACAGGCGCGGCGTGAAGACGAATCAAAGCTCGACAAGCGTTTTCAGCTCGTCTCTATAACAGACCCAGGCACCAAATACGTCCCTGATAAGCGAGTTGCTGAGCTGCCTGTGTAGTACTCAGCCTACCAAGATGCCCTCGGACTGGTATGTGTGGATATCCCAAGATTGAACACGAAGACAGTCGGTATGCATGCCAGACACAATGAAATGACAAAATAGGTCCCCTAGAGTATTATCCAATGCTTCGCCTGCCACTGGTACTGTACCCGAGGGAATACCTCAGTGCGGAAAGCTAGGCTTGTGCTGTCCAAAGAGGACCAGATGTAATATTCCGTCGCAGCCACAGAGTATTAATATCTCTATTATCCTATGTTTTAGTGTTTGCTAAGGTCTTCTTTATACTGCATGAAGACCCAATTAGAAAATTCCTTACAAGTTAGCGGAGGCAGAATAGTCTCACCCAACCCTAAGCCTGAATCAACTGTTCTCACGCAACATTTCCCAGAGCAGGCGCGCCGCCTTCCGTGGCCTTGACAGACTAATCGACTCGTACCCAACCACAAACCCTTTAGGCCCGCCTTCATCCTCCTCCTCCTCCTCCTTCAACGGCTTCTGCAGCCCGTCCAGAAACGACTTTGGTAGTTATCATGGCCGTGTAGAAATACATCTCCCACGCCTCCGTATCTGGTATCCCGATCACGTGCACCCTCCAACCCTCCCCATTCGCGTCCTCGTCGTACCCCTTGGCTTGCTGCTCCTGTGCCAGTCCAAGCATAATGCTTACGAGGCACGGGTCCTCGCATGCTTGTCCGGTCAAGCCAACTTCTCCTTCATGGCACACTTCTTGGCCACTGGTACGTTGGGCCATTTCGCTCCGCTACGTCGGAGCGGTGCCCACGCCTCATTCTCACGTATGGCGGCAATATTCTGAAAATGCACGTATGCCAGGCACCTTGTCCGCGATTTCGTCCCAAAAATGCCCTCCGTCAGTATTATTGCCACCCTGCCGCCGATACATAATCCTATCTCATCCGACCTGGGTTCTCGTCTTCTTGGTTGACTGTGATGTGGCGTCCGTTGTCGCCGGTCATCGCTATCAACACTACATTCATACATTCATTAGTGCTTGCCTAGCCTAACTAGCTGTGTGCCATACATACCGTGTTGGACTGACCCTCGGACTGGTATTATACCTGCAGAGTCTGTCCAGAGTACTCTGTCTGCGAGGCTTGCTTTTAGACATTGCCTTATTCTAATTCGTTTATAGATCGCAATTATTAAAGGCCCTAGTTAACAAGCCATCCCCTCTATGTTATCAAGCACCCTTTTCGTGGCTGGCTGTGGCTGCGACACCCAATACCAGGCCCCTTTTTGTATGGGATAACGTACTCCGTAGAAGCCGTCTGTACGGTCGCACCTTTATAGAAAATCGCTGAAATGAAGCTATTCCGAGATATTTATTATCCGCACAGGCTGTCGCATAATATTATTCATCGCGGCTGCCTGTTATAGTTGTTTTTTTAGTTAATAACTTTCAATACGGCCGGGAAATTTAACATGTATCTTTACATATAGATTTATATGTGGGAGTACCTAACATTTTTAACACAGCGATATGTGCTGCTATAACAGTAACAGTGTGCATGCATGTGTGTTACCTCCACCACCTGGCCCGCGTCAGGCCGGCCTGTCTTAATTACCTTACTAATTGCTAGTAAATTCCGACACTAGCAGCTGAAGGGGCCCAGCCATAGAGGGGGTGATTGATAACATAGAGGGGATGCTTGTTAACTAGGGCCATATTATATCATATCATAGTATAGTATAGCATAGTATAGTGTAGTAGAAATATAGAAATATAATACATTTAAAGCTCTACTCACGTTACTTAAGAATAGAGAAGCTCGATAGGCAGGGTTAGTAGTTCGCAGACTACTACTAATTTGGTTGATTAGAAGCGTAAGATGCCGTGTTACAAACGTAATTACAGGTAAAAATCATAGTCAGTGGAATACGTGATTAGCGTTGCAACCACCTAGAAGCGTCCAAGGTAAATGGAAGAAAAAAGTCTTCAACAGATTTCATTGAATGGTAATTCCCTAGTCCTGTCAAGAAACCAGGATCCCGCTAGCCCTTCATGGATGTAAAGCCAAAGCTGACTGCCACATTCGTCGTCACTCCATTCCTCTCAGCCTCCCCCATCTTCTCAAACGCTGCGGACGCGAATGCCCTTGTCTTGGCACTGAACTTTTCCGACTTGGCGACCTCGAATTTGGACTTCCACTCTTCCCACAGCGACAGAGTCCACTTTTGCTTGCCAATCTCGGTGGTGACCTCCTTCTTGCATAGCTCATACAGAGCATCACCGGCGTATATGACCCACTGGGCTGCCGCTGAAGCCCACGGCTGGTAATCCTCTGGTAGGCAGGTCTCAGGGTTTCTGGTTGCAAAGGCCGAGGGTCGGATGAGAGCGCTTTGACGAGTTGTCTCGACCACCCCGCTGGCGAGGAGGCGTGCCAAGAAGGAAGAGAAGTTGATGTACAAAGAGGCCGTTTCTTCGACGCTCTTAACATGTTTAACCTGCCGTTGCGTGCCAGTGAAGCCTGCAAAGCTCGAGTCAGAATGGAACCAGCTCCCCGGGGGGGAAGGGGGCCTCCCTTACCTTGGTCAATTTCCCATAGCCACTGCTCCAAGCCATCGTATTTGTTCTCCGGCGTGAGAACCCATAGTTCCTTGTGCACTACTTCGTCGCCGACCTTGTGTGGCACCCTGTGCCGAGGCAGGCGTTGCAGTTGTTGCAACAAAGCGACGAGGAGGTTTTGGCTGTTGTGGTCATGAGGCACCACCATGGCAACCTTGCCGAGACAATCCCACAGGTATCGTTGCCCTCCTGAAGGCTTTTGCGGCTCTTCCTGATGTTCCACGATGATCATTTCGTCGATTTCCCAAGCCGTGGCAGCAGCGTCTTGCCTCCCGCTCACTAGGTCCTGAATGGCTATGGAAATGGCAACATCCGATTTGAAGTCGCCAGGGTGCAACAGGTTGACGAATACTGAGTCCGTTGGGTTCGGCATTCTGGTAAGAGTGTTGATGTGAAGCCTCGAGGAAAGATTTGCGACTTTAGATGACAAAGACAGGTTACGTTTTGTGACGCGGGTCTAGAAACGTTGTAGATTAAATATGTCAGCGTTGGCTATTGAAATGTGACGTCACTTGCGTGCAGGTGACACAATTAAGAACTGTCCTTCTGGTCCAGCACATCTCAAAGTACAATTTTCTGACATCATAGAGAGCCCGTTGGTAAGCTCAGACTTGAAGCATAGTCCATGGCCCCGTACTCGGGCAGTTAGGCAGCTATATATGCATGTGCCAGACCGCTTTATGTTGCAGTCGGCAGATGAACCCCAGAATCCACTTCCCCAGCCACCCGATTCCATTGATTGCCGATCATCTTACCACAGATGACATGTCCGCCGCCGATCCACAGTCGTCGGTCTGATATCTCGCGGGTACGCATCTCTTCGGGAATGTCAGAAACTCGCCAGTTTTCTTGCTGAACGCACTCCAACTACTTACGGTTCGTGGCAGGATATTTGCCCACCGACAAGTATACACTAATATACCATGACGTATTTAGTGTACAGCGCGATAGCCAGGTACCTGATCTGGTCAAATACATGAGAGGTTCTAGCGTCGTCTGTGCAACCATGTCTCATGTCCACGACATGGTCTCATTCACAGCCCCACCAGCCCAGGGTATCTCAAGATGAAGCAAAAAGTGACATCGACTAATTCATTCTCCGCGTGGAGCCAATCAAAATATCCGAGTAGCTGTCCCTCATCTTCAGCGACGGTCTTGCCCTGTAATCTCGTCGACAAATGTTCGCATGACACATCAACGACTGATATAAAAGTCTTCATTTGTAGTCCTCAACAGACTCAACTTTTTTCCACCTTCGTGCATCATGGGCGTCCAAAACGGCGAGAACCGTCAGAATGAGTTGCAGAAGAAACATTGGAATCAAATTGTACTGCCATCCATGCATGATGCGCAAGTGCTGGACGACATCCTTCCTTGCGCTCGCACTCGCCAGATCCAGACGCAAAACCGCTTCAAACCACCCCTGCGGCGTCCACGTGTCCCTGGGGTATCTCGTGTCGACAAGTGCAGAAGCGAGGCCAACGTCAATAACCTGCCCCTCGTGGCTGTTTGTTACCGCGAAGACGTAAGCCAGTGTGGCGAGTGTGAATACGGTGCCCAGAACCGTAAACACGAGCCACGTGCGGTAGATGAGGTTGTTCAACTTGTTTCCCCAATGTATCGGCCTGCTTTGGAGCCAGAGGGCAAGCACGCCGCCGAGACCAACAATGACGAATGCTGTCCCTGCTGCGCCATTACTGGAGTGTCCTTGGTCGACTAGAAGATTTCTTGGCACTCCGATCAGATCAAACGTCGTGCCGTTGGACTCGATGGAGAATGTTCCACTCGCTGTGCTGTGCAGCCAACTGACCATGTTTGTGACAAAGGCCAGCTCGATGATGGAGTCGGCCATGACCGCGCCGAGGGCGACGTAAAGGTACAGCCGGTTCATTGCTGCTGTTTTGCATTGGCGTCAATGAAAAGCTGTTGGGTTGGGAATTCAGTTTAAACAAGTCATGATGGAGTTGCCTTTAAATAATTCGTTAGTTCTGACAAGCGCCTGATCAAGCTGACATGTCGTGTGGCTGCTTATTGCTGACCAAGGATGACGGGCTGGGCGACCAGCTACGAAACACGGTAATTGCCGATGGGCAGAGATTATCGGCTTCTGACCGAGTTCACGACTACGTTACTACGAATAGCCACGTTTCTATAGAGGACCTATCCGAGGCATGGCAGGCCTTTTTAAAAACTCCGAGTGCTGACACCGTGGTCGACTTACTTCTGGAGACGGCCAGTGGACAACACATTTCCAACCGTGTAGGAAAGTAATCACAATCCATCGCATGTCCTATTCTGAAAATTCAATTAAATCTCAAAACTCTCATAAAACTCATAGTAAACCGTGTGTCTGCTTACAAGTTGCAAAATTCCACTATACCATTACAACACATTTACACTCGGTTTAGAAACGCCGACAAACACGTTGCTCCGTCAATATAGCACATGTATACATGTACGAAGTACCAATCAGCTGGGCGGCATAATAAGTAAAACGACGGCGCCATACCAGAACATAATACCGGTGTATCATATCATCGTCTCGCAACCAGCGCACCAAGGCGTACATCTACAACCATAACCTATTGTGCTTACATGTTTCATACGTGGAATAAAAGCATTGTTCAAATTTTGACAATTGCCGTCATCAAGATACTACACGTAGCACTGCAACACAAACTGCGAGTCCCTTTAGACGGCCAACGCGTGTGTATTTTGTCCGAGGACACAAATATCAGCTAAATATACTCATGAACTAAATGAATGTGATTTCTGACACCAGTCGTGCGCGCCATCAATCTTTCAAGTCTGTCCTCGTAGCATTGGCCGGGCTCCGTGTTGAAAGGACGTTTCCGAGACCTTCCAGAATCGTTGTTTCCTCCGCCGCCAATGACGGACCGATTCGACAGGCAAAGAAAACTGGCAAGGCCTCAAGGTCACCAAACGCTGATTTAGCAACCCGTATTGACGCAGTTGCAGAAGCTAGCACTGCAGTAGTAGCATCTATAGTTCCATTCGCCGCATAAAACGGCGCACTGGTATGCACTAAAACCTCCACACCAATCCTCCGGGCTCCCAGCTATTCACAGTTAGTCCCTCGACATGCCCTTCTTTGAATATGTGACATTTCAAGTCTTTAGCATCAACGTACAGGAGCTGAGGCTCAAGGCATCCTTGGGCAGGCTAGACAGAGCAGAAGCGTCTTTGCTAGCGGGCTTGATGCCCTCGCCCGTGGTGGCGGCCAAGATGCTGCCGGTGAAGAGACCGAGGAGGAGAGTAGTCTTCATTGTGGAGGGGTGTTTGGTCAAGAGTTTTTGTGTTGTGGTTTGATTTTCTTGATACAAAGTCGAAAGAAGCTTGTCGATGATGGCTTGGCGAGATTTCGGCAGAGGGATGAAGGGGGGATATTTATAATTTTCGTCCGTCAGCCAGGACTCACGGTCCTCGGGGCGCTTCTACATGTCTCCCCGCTGAGAAGAGAGCCGAATCAGCCGATTCCGTTGTGTAAGAGCCTCACGAAAGGTTTGGTATCACAACTCACCTCGCAAACTGGGCCGTGCCAGGTGTCAGGGTAATGCTGTGCTTTGCGGGGAAGTGCCAATATTCTGACATGCATCGCCGTGTCGCTTGCCATCTCTCGCAATGACTACAGACCTCGAGCAGGAAGACCATGTCCGGGGTCCTACGTACGAGGACGAACCTGGAAGACTGGCCTGGAATGCAGAGCCCAGGCCGTATGTCTGCAACAGCCCGGAAACATTTGGCGACAGGCCGGACCCAATCGGGACACAAATCCCAAGACATGCTTCTGCACAATGCTGAAAAGAAGTGGTAAATAAGATGACCCTCTTGCAAGCCGGGACCATGGCGGCCCTAAGTGTTTTGTCATGAAGATACGCCTGCCGCGTATTCCATGCGACCAGTATCGGCATCTTGATCCGGGGCGTAAGCAGTGTTCATTGCCTTGCTGAAAAGGAAGCATATAAGCTAGCTTGGGGCTAATCAAAGTGAGGCTCTTTCGAAATAAGCCAAGCAACACAAAACAAAAGTTGCTGTTGCACCATGGTGGTTCTCCCCCAACGGCGCATCTTGGCCTCGGCGGAATACACATGTACACAACGTGGGGCTCCGGCAAGAAGTGAACGGCTCCAAGGATTGAGGTGGGATGATTCTGTGGCCTGGAACACAAGCCTGCTCAAATCATCAGTTTCGTGCGTCTACAGTCGTGATTCGTCACGGCTATCGGTAGAGCCGGGGGGCATTGTTACTCTGCCGCAGTTCGTCTGATGCGTTGTTGAAGGACCATCCAGGTACATGATGCGAGTAAATAGAGATGGTGTTTCTCAACTTTGAACCACTCTGAAAATACCAGACGGCATTGCCCCTGCGCAAACATGTCCCTCGTCTGGTTCTTCTCTCAAGAGTGTACGCTGCTCCGCGGCAAACGTATATGCCGAGCAAGTACCGTTCCAACGTTTCACGGCCTCGGCTCCCATCCATCTTGGCAGAAGCATCCCATGCCGGGAAAAGTCAGACATTTCCCCGTGGGGAAGAGGAGGGAGCTGCGGGTTGTCGGACGTAGGTAGGGTGCCGACCGTCCGCTTCCACAGCTGGGCATCAAGTCGGATATCGCGCATGGGGCGCGGCAATGCCTTTCCATCTCTGCCAGGCCAATACTTGTTAGAAAACCCCGTCCGGGTAGGGTTGCAGTCGGCCCTTCGGGATGCAGAAGCAGGTATGGCCAAGGTACAGGGTCTGTATGTACACCCAGGTAAGCCGAGTGATCGACATTGCATGAGCTGGACAGCCCTCACGGCGAAAGAGTTTAATTCGCAACTCGCGGCTTTTGCCCAGAGGCATGGTTGCCTAACTTGGGTTGCCTGCTGCTGCGCCTACACTTGACCATGTACGTTGGCGTCAGTGTGAAATCATGGTTTGGACAGAAGAACCCTTCTATACCCGCTGTTACGCAGCATATTTGCTCCTTGTGTTACTCCGTACGTGGTGCGTCCTGGGGTTTCACTCCGATTAGCACGAGACCGACGCCTCACTGACAAGCCCTCGAATCAAGGTTTCGTTTCTCCATGCCGTGGCTGCTTGTCAAAGTGTCAACTTGCCACGAACCGGCGTTGAGCTGTTGGCTTTGCGAAGCTGGTCAACCAGAGAAATCATTGTGACGGCATACAGACACGCCACTGTCCTCGGGTTCTGTGAATTTGCAAGCAGAATGGATAGATGCCGACAGTTCACGTATCGCGGAGACAACCAGCCGAGGTTCAAGAATCTGCAAGATTAAATCTAAGTCATGTCTCAAAATCGCGCATACAAGACATTCGCGTACTTGTGCCATGTCTTGCAAAGCCACGCCTTGTTCGCCGGCGCCAGTATTTTCTCGTCTCTTTTGCTGGTCAGCAAGTCGACTCTCATCAACGGAACCTCAGACAACATGGGTCGTACAAAAGTATCCGCCAATTGCGCATAATAAACCAGCAGAGGTGGGCGACGAGGAAACAAGGCGCTCGGGGGCCCAAATGTCAGTGTTACATTCACGACCAAGGTCCGAATGTACGTTGAAGAATTGCCTCGATTGACCGGGAGATACATCAGCCCTGCGAGTAATTTCGACAATCACAAGCCGTCCGCAACTCGTACAGGGCCTCAAACCCCCCTCGGCGATACGACACTGCACAAGTCCAACTCAGTCGTCGGACCAACAGTTGCCCATGGACGGTCCGCCTCGACAATACACAGCAGCGATTCGGCACATGTATTACGACCTTGTTTCTCCAGGGCCCATTTCCTCATACAGTGGAGGAGGATCCATCACCAAAACATCCAGAGATGTATTCACATGCTACCGTGTGTCAAGCGACAAATCATGATGCTGGGGCTCAAGACAAGACGTACCTGTATCTGACCGTCCACGCCCTTGGACACGCCGCCGGTAATTTCAAGAGAATACGTCACATTGAGCAGGCAAGAGGTAAACGTAGGCTTGCAATCGGGGCTGACAACGATGAACCTCCCCCAATCACCCAACTCGAGCTCAAAATGTTCGGTATGAATAGGCACAGCCCCGCCGATTATGCATCCACGCCGCGATTGTATGATGTGATGCCACGTATTCCGTATGCGCACCGAGACGCATGTCTTTAGCTGCACGCTCACGCTCCGGATATACATATCATGGCCTCTCAACATTTCGGCGGGGGTATGCATAACCAGGCGCACCGGTGTCCCCCGCCCCCGGACGAGCACCGGCGGCTGGGGGAGAATCGCCTCCATCTGCAACGCAGGCGAGTACCGAGGGAGGGAATCGCTCCGCGAAGCCAGCAGCGTCGAGTCTCCCATGCCGATGCCGGAGTGCCTCCTCAGCTTCTCTGCCGGTAACGAAGCAATGGCCGATGTTGGCAAAGCCGTGATGGACGGGCTGCTGGTCAGTTGAATCTCGCGCCTCACCGTCGTGGTCCTCGTTATTCGGTGAAACAAGCGGCGTTGTACGCTTGCCGCTATCGAATACGAAATGCCCACGCTGACCTTGGGGGTGTCGGCGCGTAGTGACGGTGGAAGCTCACAGGTTCCAGCGCAGGCGCACGGGAGATTTGTCGGCAGCTCAAACTCAAACGGGCAGAGATACCCGTCTTGATTAGACTCGACGGCCGGCCCGGCCACTTGTCTTGCTTCGAGTTGCCTTGACTGCTTGAAAATCTTGGAACGGTAAGCTCAGATGCACATGTATGACTGCTCGGGTGTGAGGAGACGTACAGTGTGTTTCAGCTGGTTGGGACAAGAGCCGTTGGCCTCAGCAGAGACTCTAGCCTTTTCTCTACCTAGTATTTCACCACATTGTCAGCATCCGTCATTATGCTCGGGTGAGTCAAAGTCCTGGTAAGCTCTCACCTCGCAAGGTCGCCGTGACTTGTGATATGTTCCTCAGCCGACACCCCCATATCACCAATGTACCCCGAACGGTATCGCCCGGTCGATAAGACGGCTCATTTCGTTTGGACTCGAGTCTCAACTGCAGCTTCATTGTTTCTGCATGAATCACTACAGTAACAGTATACAGCACAAATGGTGAATGAGTGAAATGATAGTCTGTTGCACCTGAATGAACAAGTCTCATAACCCTATATACCTGCCAACATGCCAACCTCAGCCAGGAGGGCTAGCGGCATCATCGGCATGTGCACGGGGATCGGCATTGATAGGACTGTGCTCACTGCTTGACAACTTCAGCCATGGCATCGGGGCTTGCATCCGACCACCAATAAGGCTCAAGTCAAGCTTCAAAGCACACGGGAACTAGTGCAAGATGGAGAAGAAGAAGAAGAAGGAAACGGAGACGAATGGTATTGCCTTGATTGGATGGATCAAACCAACGTGACCTCCAAAGTCCGAGCGTAGACTTGTCAACTGTTGGAAATGCTAGGCGGCCAATGGCACCGCTCCCCTCAAAGATACACGTCGTCGCCAATCCCCCAGAGCTATTGAACTTTAACCCTGTTGCCTGCATCGCTTGCGACACAATGATTGGCCAGAAACCACTTCTGTCTCGGGTTGACAACAGACTCAACATTGACCTGGTTGTTCACATGAAAAAGCTGGTAAAGAAGAGGCATCCATTTCCACGTCAATTGCTCGGGGCGCTCATCCATTTTACTCGGGGCGCTCACGCCCTAATTTTTCTGCGGTCAACCCCGCTGCCAGACCCCATAGTACATTCTCAGCATAAATGCATGGCAGCTTTACTTAACACTAAAAAGCTCTATTAAAAATTAACGGATTTTTTTTTTAAAAAAAAGCTATAACCGTATGAATTTTTCAGTAAGTAGTAGCATTTTTCCTTCTTTAACACTATAAAGAAAAAATCTAACCTGAAAGTGTATAGTAGCTTAAAAAAATCATGTAAATTACACAAGCACCTTATTATTTAATTAAGGGCATTTACTGCCATGCATTTAAACTAAAAATATGCTGTGGGGTCTGGAATCGGGGCCGCTAGACCAAAATTGGGGCGTGGTGGGGTATTGAGCGCCCCGAGTAAAATGGATGAGCGCCCCGAGCAATTGACATTTCCACCATCGGCGTTTGCAAATTGAATCCAAATACGGTGACTCGGTGTCTGACGGCTCTGTTGCATCCAAGTCACACCCCGAGCTCCGGCCGCCCAGCCCGAGCCCAGCCCGAGTCCGCCTCCAGTCTGCATTTTCAACTCCCTTCCCGCTTCTCACTCACCATGGCCCTGCTTCGCAGTCACGAGGCCGCAGCCAAACGTTGCCAACCCCCTCATCCTCATGCCACGACACGGCAACTTGAATGTCTACGAAAGATTGCAAGTCGTCCCAAGTGCCCGATTCCGCCAAACGAACCACCACCTCGCGCCTCACAGCCATCGCAACAATTCGGCAGACCATGCGCAGCCCCGTGGGCAGGTTGAGCCTATGAAACACAAGTAGTGCATCAAGTCACGACATTTCTTGAAATTTCCAACGCCAGGTCCCTCCGGCCAACATGTCGAGCCATGGAGCGGAAAGCCACCCAGCCGGCATCCACCGCGCTCTTTAAACGTAGAACCATCGCGGTGTCAAGGACGGCTCTCAAAAAGCTGCTCGAGACCACAACGCGCCATGTTCTCACTACCATTACGCAGATGGTCCGGGACATGCCAAGCTTGCAAAGCCTCAAGCTGCGTTAGTTACAGCATCGTCACGGCTCGCACACCGACAGTCTGTTTCAACTCTGAACCTCGACTGCATCGCCGGATTCGCACTCGTGTCAGAGCACCCTCTCACGACCCGGCTTGAAGTGAAGGGACGCATCAACCATCAGGTTCCTCAGTCGCGTGCTCTCGGATGCAGGAAGCGCATTCTGTGGGCGACAGCCAAAGGAAGGGAGTATGGCGGCTACTTGGACCATAGTCTGTACAACTTTAACCATGAATTCCGAACAGGTAGTAGATTCAGATCGGCATTCTAGCTTCAAACAACAAGAGCCGCAGATTGGGCTGTGTATATGTGTACCCTTGGAGGCTTCGGGGGACAGTGGCCCGGCCTGCATATAAAAGTCCGTTTTCCCCTTGATCCATTCCCCAACGCCATGTGACAAAATCTAAGGATAATCCGTAAACCCAGCGCCGTCACCATCCCTGTTCACCATGTACCCAAACCTCTTGCCTTCCTCCCTGCCCAGCAGCTCTGGCACATCCGTATTGCCGTCCACCCTCACAAACTTCTCCGTTTCCCGCCCCCACAAGTCCTTGCCCTGCCTGACCGACTCCACAATCTTGTCTCTATTCCTAAACTTGGCGTCGTTCATCCATATGTGCGAGAAGCTCGCCATCTTGTTCAGCAACTGCTCAATGGTGGCAAAGCAACTACTACAGTGCCACGAGGCATTTTTCAAGCTGCCCTTTTCGAAGAATTCTCTGTGGAAAAACGAGCCTCCATCGCCAACGCGCAGGTGCGTAGGGGTGATGGTTTCGTCGGGACCTTGGTAAAACGTCGCTTGTGGATGAGGCCACTCCGGTCCCACGTGGAGGAACTGAAACGAGTAGTAGTAGAACTTGGACTGGAGGGTCAGTCGGCGAGGGAATGTGCATGACCGCAGGGTGGTGACTGTTTCGGGGCGAGGGATCTCGTCGACATCGGCGACGATAATGACGTCGCCCCTGTTGGGTGCTTGTTCGCCGGATAGCTTGGGAAAGACTTGGGTGAACATGGAGTCGCGCTGGAGGTCCTCAAAGTCCCAGGTGAGACGGGGTGCGAAGTCGGCAGGGAATTCGAGCTGGTGGTATATCAGCTTGGGGTGGAATCGCTCAAACTTGGACCAGCTGTCGCGGATCGTGAGGTTCTTTTCCCCGCCCTGAAAGGTTCGCGGCGACTCGACAATGACAAAGTAGTCTACGTGGTCGTAGAGGGTGTCGAGCCGGAGCTCTAGAAAGTCGAGTTCGGAGTTGATCATGAACAAGTCGTAGACCTTGCGCCGGGCGTCGCCGGTCGGAACAAAGGGTTTGAAGCCATGAGATGCGCAGAGCTGGCGGGCTGCTTCGCGTTCCTCTGAGAGTGGTGAGGTGCTGGTCGTCGAACCCGGCGAGGCGTCGGGGGAGCGTAGGGGGCTTTGTTGACGCAGACTCAAGGCTGTCTCCGGTATCGAGTAAATCCCCTGCTCGGATAAAAGTCGAAAAAATATCCAGAAAACGGCGCCCGCTAGAAGGACAGGAGCAATCCGGAAGGAGCGACGGGTCGGCATTGCAAGTTGCTGACGGTGGCGGCTTCCCGATGTGGACGGACCATGGCCATGGGCGACAAGACAAACATTGAACCGCCCTGCTCGACAAAGTCAGGAAAGGAGCAAGATACGGCCACTTGGCTGCGGCAGCACTGTTATTATATTGCGCCCCCAATGCCCGCCCAGCCTTGAATTCCCTGCCAAGGCTCGTCTCGCGTCCCTTTGTCGCGTCGTGGCATTGTGTCACGCCCACCTGCCACCTTGAGCCCAACAAGAAACGCCTCGTGCTTCATGTCTCGTCTCGCGGCGCTATGCCATGAACTGGCTTGTGCAGCAAACCACTCCGCACGAGCCAGGCGCCGCGAGGGCCATGTACAGCAGCCGTGGCGGCCTATTGTTCAATAAACGCATCTAAAATGCCACGGTCAAATCCCCCATTGACTTGCCGCCTCCAAAGCCTCCTTGTCAACCGGTTAAGTCTAATGGTCAACTATATTGGACGAGACCCGCCGAATCGGGCCACAACATAGCCTAGTTGAGCTTGGCAGCGGCCGTTGATTGGCCACAAGAGGGCAACGGGAAATGCCAATGTTTTCTCCTGGCGCCCGCTGCGCCTCGTCTAGGTTACTAGTCTTTCGAATACTAGCAGCTGGGTCAAATCAAACATCGTATAGGAACCTGATATGTACTTGACACGGGGCTGTGTGGCGGACTGCGTAATACCAGACATTACTCGGTAAACCTGCATGTGTTCAAATAGTTCATCAGAAAGACCTCGACGCCAAACGATGCTAGTCCAAATCTACTCGCTATACACGGGCCCCCAAAATGTCCGACAACAATTCGTCACATCTCGTCATTTCTAGTCCTTCATATCAGGACAGGCTCAACTCCACGCAACATCATCATGACCATCTGTCTCTTCACACCCGTCACCGCTCACCTCCAACGCAAACTCTGCCTCCGTCGCAAATTCAGCATACAGAGCCCGGCCTGCGCACCCTGCAAACTTGATCTCCTCCGCGTTCCGCGTAGCACTGCCCCTCTGCTGGAACTCAACCGCGTGGAACTCGTCCTTTAGCTTGGTGAGCGCCGTCAGCGCATCTTCCGGCCAGCCGCTTGGGCCGATTCTCAGGCCGTCGCCAGCGAGCCGGTTCGCCCTCAGGGCATACCGAGCGACCTCGGAATTGGCGGCGAAGTCGGCCGTCTCAGCCGACCACGCGTATTCAGCGTTTTCCGTCGAGTCGGCGGGCCTCGCCAGCTCCTGGTTTCGGTGAAGGCCGAAGATGGGTGCTGCGTTCTTTTTACCCTTGTTCGGCTCGCCGCCAGTACCGGTTGCTTTGGATGAGCGGCGTGGGCACGGGGAAATAGGAACTACGGGGGAAGGCGGTGCATTGGAGGAAAGACTCGCGCCCTCTTGTCCGCTTGCCCGTTGACGGTCGATGGAAATTAAATTCAGAGGCTTGATTGGTTCTCTTGGGCTGCTTGTCATGGGCGCCGTTCGGAACTGAGATCGCACTGGAGTTTTTGGCGTTGTGCCAAGTTTCCTTTGCTTCACGGGAGTTTTCTGAGCTTGCACGCTCTGCCTGCGCTTTTTCCCCGCGCTGCTTCCGGGAGTATAATCCGAGTCATCTTCGGCGACTTCCATCGACGCCGGGCCTGGGAGCTTGTTTGTCAGTGTACTAATGTTGGGCGTTGCAGCGCCGGGGGTGCTTACGAGGAGCCCTTGGTCTGCCTACGGGAGCTTTGCCTTCTTCCCAGAGGTGGCGCCTACATATCTTGTCGATTTCCCTGCTAAGCTGGAGCTGGACACTATTCGTGTTGGCCGCAGCAACCGGACTCGAGAGCTCTTCGAGCTCTTTACGATACTCTCGTGGATTGCAGGAATCCTGGGCCGCTGGTGGCTCCGTGCTGTCTTTCGTGGTATCATGCTGGTCTACAGTTGTGGCCGGTGTCTCCCGTCGATTGCTCAGAGACTGATATCCAGCGGTTAGCCCGCCGCTGACAACCGCCGATACTTCTGGCCCGGCGGCTGTGCCAAAGAGTCCGTTGTCCTTGTCTTGCACTGCTCCGTTGGAGTTGATCAAAGCTTGCATAGAGGCAACCTGTCGTCGTAAATCCGTGTTTTCTGCACGAGTGACTCCCAACGACGGATGATCACAGCGGGAGTCGTCCGTCGTCGTTCGCAAAACGCGGCTTCTTCGCATCGCTGCCATGGCTATTGTTGACCTTGCAAGCAGGGACGTCTGAGGCTGTAGATGGTTAGTTTGTACACTGACTGGATGAAACTCCGTGCATGTCATCCCAGCTTCCAGTGCAGTGCCGACATATTTGCCAGGGACGAATTGCGAAAGCGTGATAGGCATTTGCAGCATTTGCCTTCCCGGGCTCGTACGTACCTCATACGCGTTCAGGTCCGTAGGAGAGCTCGGCTGGCCATCCAGCTGCCTTCTTCCGAAAGGTTCGTCGCTCTCAAGCCAGCTGATTGGGATGAGGTTGGTTACGTCGCTGAGAATCCCAGAGCGGACAAGGCGGTTTCGCTGAGGCGTGACGTGGATGCCATCTCGAACAATCTTACCCTGGCTGGCGTCTGGCACCGAACGCGGGATAACTCTGGGGGCTGTACCGAGGAAAGCGTCGTTTATAAGGCACTTCTTATCGCTTTCGGCAGCCATTTTCCTGGCTTGGACTACTGCAGCGGCCTCGATTTGCCCCATGTCAATGGGTCCAGAAGGTCGCGCTCTTCCAAGGTCATCTTTGTCTTTGGCGTCGAGCACAATAGGCTCTGTAATGTCCAGATGACCAAAGCCGCTCGTGCTGACGCCCACCCAGCCTTTCAGATCTTTAGTATATTCATCCAGACCCCGATGCTTCATATACTCTGCGGCCTGATCAACATCCCTCTCCGTGATCCGGTAGGTACTGAGTTCCGGGGGATACAAGTTGATCAAATCGGAGAAGTGGCATAAATTTCTCTCCGCAGCCTCCGCCATCAGCTCACGATACGGGATCTTGTCCACATTCATCTCGTACGTCTCCCAAACCTTGTCTTCTGCCAGATACTTGGTAAGAAAATTCTGAATCTGCAAACCACTGAGGCTCAAAAGCCGCCGTGCCACCTTCGAGAACGGGTGCCTTTTACACAATACATGGCACATCACCCATTGAATACCGTCGGAAAGGTCATCCTACAACACCTCCCGCGGGCTCAACGGGGCGTCTGGCGCGCTGGAATAAGCGTGAGGCGGCTCGTCGTCCGAATCAGACCCCCAGTAAATTTCTTCTCCAACGAACGGGCTGTCCATGTCGTCCGACGACCTGCCCAGGCCCGATTCCATGGGTGGCAGTCTGGCAACAAGAGCCATCCTTGGTGATGTTGGGGTTGAAGCTCCTGTGTCTTTCTCCGACGTCAGCTCGGGAAACACGCGGGAACGAGGGCGCGCAGCCAAAATTTTGGGAAATTTTTGCTCACCTTGGTTTCCGGGCGAATCCGCAGCTCTCAGTTTCCTTTCCAACTCTTCCCTCTTTCCGCTTGTGAAGCACTCTCTCGTGGCCTTGACCAATTCACTTGGTCCTGGGTCCGGATCGTTGAGCGGACGCGAGGGAAACGCGCAGTACTTTCCGAGGTCCGAATTTTGCGGCTGTACAGAAGATATAAAAGTTGGATTATGATTTCTGGACAGCGCCCGAGGTTGCGCTCCTCTCTCTTCTTCTTTGTCCCTGTTTTTGTAGCGCTGCGGTATGCGGCGCGCTGATGCAGGTCGGAGGTTGTGCTGGCGCGAGGCCATGGTGGCGGATTTGCTCTTGGTTCAACAATGAGAGACAAATCTGAAATCGGGGTGGCCGGCGCGGTGAGAGCAAAGAGAGAGAATAAACATATGAAAGACATGCTTGGCAAATCATGGGAAAGAATAGCGTGAAAGGGATGCTTGGTTGTGCGGCTCGTAGAAGGAAACGTGACGGTAAAGTGAATTCACGGTGAACAAAGGGGGGGTGACGGGCACACTCTCCTCGCTAGTCCGAGGAACAAACCGTAATTCTCCTAGTAGATGAAGATTGGATGAAGATTGTGCACGTCTTAATCATGCAGGCACAATCATTTATTTATTTATTTATTTTTCCTGGGAACATGGATCACTGAGGGCATCGTTCACGGCGGATATGGGCCCGTTGACACGCCCAGGCTGAATGAGAAGGTCGTGCACTGATACTGTGAAATAGACAGGTATTTATGTACATATAGCACCTTGTGAATATATTGACACAATCAAACATGTGGCTTCAGCCGCTTGTCACTCGCATTTTCGGGATCCGGGAACAACGGCTTTGCCCCCTTGTGTTTCAACGCATTCCTTGGTAAAGCATTGCGCACAGCCAACGATAGATGGAGATCAAGTGTTTTATGTAGCATACCCAAACAGACTTCAGGCCTCAGGCTCGCTTGTCCGGAGTCGCGGTCCGTATCGAGCCATCATTACCTTTTCTTTTGTGAGTACCACGTTTGCCGGCGTCACATGGGCTTGTTAACATGGCATATCACGTTTCGTAAACCAAAATTGGCAGATTGAATGTCCATCAAGATCATACAGGACAGAAAGACCAAGGCTGTAATCAAATTCTGAACAAAATGTACTCGCCTTAATTCCATGTACCTAGGGAGTTACTTAAAATTTTACAAGGGTATCTTCATATGCTTATGTCGTCCAGAACGCCTGCCACAAAGGTAACGTTGATTTTGCTTGCCCTGACCAGTGACCTTCATGATCAATGCCATGGGTTCCATACATTCCAAAATCAAGCCTGCATGGTTGGCATCGCTCAGACCCAAAACCTCGACCAGGTGCGCTTGCTAGTTACCATGCATGGCATCAGCAAACGGTGCGAATGGGCCCCGGCCAATAAACCTGTCCAGGTCCGTGATGGGAGCTCCTCCAGTGTCCTCACAATCATCCTCATTCAAATCCATCATGCCATCAAATCCCCTCTTTGGCGCCGAGGCCCCGGCTCCGATTGCAGAACCTTTTCCCTCTTGACCGTAAGGGATCTGGCCACTCTGCTCAGGCTCTGCCGCTTCTAGACCCTGGTGGTGTTCATGCTGGGCAACTGCCGACCTTGCTGAAAGGATATCTCCCCACGACTGCAAAATGCGCTTTGTATCCTCGTCAAATGCGCAACAGACTCTCTGCAAGCCAATGAATTGCAACGTCGTCACCATGTCATTGCGAAACACGGACATGACGTACGCCGCAACAATCGCCGGTGACCAGTCAATCCCAGTCGCGCACGTAACCAACACTTTGCCCCGACGGAAGTTGCTAGATGGCACAATGATTCCGTCCATCTCGCATCCGTCTCCATTACTGCCGGTAGACTGAGGGTGATCTCTACCCAACAAATGATCGTTTATCAGTTTAACCGCCGTGGGAAACCCACGAATGAGGTCGTGCAGGCCGTTCACATCTATATACTCCACAGAGATCTTCAGCCGATTTTTGGCCTCCTTTACAGGAGATATTTCCACCCCGGCGAAGCACGATGGGCGCACCAAGAGCATCATGGTAATACCTTCCCGCTCAAGGAAGGAAAGATCGCGTATAACGGTATTGGGGCCGAGATAGAGAAAGTCCAGAATGGCCTGCGCCTGATAGCGATTGTCCCACACCCAAGGATCGGCAGAATCCTTTGCGACTTGTCTCTCATTTCGAGTAATGATTTGTAAATCGTTCAACTGATTTGGGTCGACATCTTGTAATTGCGGTAGGAGCTCCATGGCGAATTGAGGACCCCTAGACTTCGTCGGCGCAGGTATGGGAATTAACGGAGGGCTCGGGGCTCGGTAGGAGTACGGCGCGGATCGAGTCGCGTTTGCGGATAGCGAGGACGGGTCCAACTCCTCCCGTGAGGAAGTGTCGGACGACATGGCGGCGAGGCTGTGTACGACGGGTGAGGAGAGAGGAAGCTGTAATTTTGCAACAGCAAAGCAGATCAAAGTAGCAAGATGGCCAACGCAAGCTGGAGAAGCATTGGCGACGCGCACTTTGAACTGGGCTAGGAACGAAGACTGGTGCGCCTGTGTATGCTCCCAGCATAACTCGGTCGGTTCATTCGGATGAGATCACAGGTTAGTTTAGAAAACGCGTTGGGCAATGGATGGCGGGCGGTTGGTCAGCCAGGGGATGCAAATTGCAAACAAAAAGAACATTTGAAAAGAAGAGAAAACGGACAGTAATGCGGGAGCCGGTCACCGTGTCAGCTCAATGAAGCTAGACAGGCATAGCTCCATTCCACCAAACAAAAGGAAAGAGTGAGTCGCCACGTCTAAGAACATTGAGCTAAGAAAGCTAAGAAAGGGCAAGAGCTGAGCAGAAATACCAAGCAAGTTACTAACTTGCACCCAGTCCACTCCACTCGGTCCGTGCAGCTCCAAATATGCAAGCACAAATGATGCTTCTAAATCTGCACCTACCTCTGCACCTACCTCGTCATGCAGCTCATGTTACTCCGTACGAGTGCCAGCATCCCGAACTTCGTGTTTTCGTTCGCACTGCACATCATCAACCCGACTTATTCATTGCTGCCTTGCTCTTCTAAAGACGATATAAGCAGGGCTGACTTTGTCTTGCCACCAAATGTCTCCATGTATTATCAATGCCAAGCGCAGGCACTCCATAGCGTGTCTACCGCGCGGTGCTGGAATGATGCCCAACCGACACGGTCAGTTCATACACAAGCATGCACCAGCACGTTGCAGCATTTGAGAAAGTGGTATACAGCGCTTTAGCCTTTCGCTACAAAGGGCCCCTATCAGCCTCGCTTGGGGACATATCTTGCACGGGGCAAGCTCAATTGATCTACTTTAAGCAATTGTGCCATCAATTCAGGAGCAAGAAGAGTAGTGTACAGGCATATGCAAAAACAAGGGGAGTTTTCCAAGAGATGTTTTTTGTCCGCCCAAGATCCTCAACGCCTTTCAATGCATCCATTATACGAAACCAAGAGTATCCATCACACCCTCTTCAGATGTACTTTACACGCCGTTTTGACCGGTTTCTACTCAACGCATACTTTACATTGATCCAACCTCAATCTGTTTTTCATGCTGCTCTCTCTCGTCGAGCTTTTTGCCCTTACCGGGCGACACTGGAATTTGGGCGTCATGCTGCTCGTGCTCCTGCTCCAGTTCATCACCGTCCTCTTCACCGATCGCTTTTCTGCTCATATTGCGAGAGCGAGCCTGTCTCCGCTTGTTCTTTCGCTTGTGCTCGAGCTGTTCTTCTGTGAAATCGAGACGATCTAGTGTGGAAATGAGTTTCTCTTCGACCAGATGTCGCACGTGGAAGGCCAGCGCCTGGCTTGCAAACATGCCGGCGTATCGATAGGACAGCCAAATGTATTGATTAATTGCCACATGCAGCGCCTCCAGTTTGGATAGGTATTCTTGCGGCCCGCCCGGATAGTCTTCCATCTTGACCTCCAAGAACTCGAGCGGTATTTCTTTAATAGAAAGCAGATCACCGGCCGAGTTGTTGGCCAGAACTCGCGCAAGAGCGCGCAAAACATCAACGGCACCTTCCGCTCGCAGTGCCACGGGCAAGTAGCAGAATGTCAGGCGGTCGTAAATCGTAAGCGGGAGGTCTTGAATAATATCGGCTATTTCCAGGGCATCACTGCTGACATTCAGGCGATATCTTGGCCCAACAGTTGCTGCAGCCTTGATTCGCATCAATATGAAAGACAAGGGTGTGTCTGGTGGGAAGTAAGATGCAAATCGTTCAACGATGCCGGCTGGGGGCTGGATACTGGCATATTCAATGTCGTTGACCTTTTTCTGAAAAGCTTTCTCAACATTTCGCAGATCGGCTTGGTCCATTGTTGTTACGAGGCCGACTTTTTCCTTCTCAGCTTCCTCAGCATTCACACCCACGGCGCTTTGCGCAGTTCTATATCGTCCTGCACGACCGCCAATTTGCTTGATTTCAGGATAAGTGAGCAGTCTGTTCTGGTTGCCATCAAACTTGGTGATTGACTCGAGCACCACTCGTCGAATTTCGAGGTTCAAGCCCATGCCAATCGCATCACTGGCAACAACAAAGTCGTAGTCATTGTTCGGATCGTTGAACAAGGCCGCTTGTTGCACCCGAACTTCAGGTGGCAACGACCCGTAGATAATCGCACATCTTCGACCAGTCGCGGTCTCAATGTTTCGTTTCAATACGTGAAGTGATAGGCGACTGAAGGCAACTATTGCATCCCCTTTTTGCAGGTTACTGTAATCACCCTTGATGGCAGAATCCATCGTCTTGAGAGGACTGAGCCGTTCATAGCGATGAACAACACACTTGTCACCGATACTGGCACAAAGCGCCTGCAAAAGAGGGACCGTCCGGTCCTCGCCGCACAAATGCACCTCGTTGGCTTGTACACCTAGCACTGCGGTTGTCCATGCATTCCCACGCTCAGGATCGGCAATCATCTGAATCTCATCAATGACAGCAACATCGAACTTCGTATTCAGCGGGACCATTTCTACCGTGCAGCTTGAAAAATATTGGTCCGTGTCCTCAGGTATGCGAATTTCCTCGCCAGTGATTAAGGCGCACGGGCGACCTTTGGCTGTGAGTCTTTGATACACTTCCGTAGCCAACAATCGCAGCGGTCCTGCATAAACGCCCGTCTTGGAGTTCTCAAGCGCTTTGAGAGCATTGTAAGTTTTTCCGGAATTAGTCGGTCCAACGTGCACGTGGATGGTGCGCTGCATCGTGCGCGTGGCTGGAAACCACTCGTGGGGAAACCGGAAATCTAGGAGGCGCTTTTGATTGTCTTCCAGCTCCTTGGAGAAGTTTTGTCGAACCATGAAGGACTGGAAAGAATACTGAAGTTCCTTGGTTAAGCCCTTGATGTCTCGCGTGATGAAGGCATCTCGCAGGTTCCAAAACAAGGGGTTCTTGTCACGGCGAGTAACGTTCTGTTCGGCAAGTGAAAAGGCATGGTCTAGCGCATTCATGAACAGAGCCGCTTGTCTGTTCAACTCATCGTCTCCTATCCCTTGCCCTGCTTGCTGTGACGCTAAACGATTGTTGAGCACGACCTGCAGCCGATGGAGGACTGTGGATCGAAATACGCCATGACGACCAGTGTACTTCTTACCAACGTCGAGCCTTAACCTGCTTTTCGGATCATGCCCTTGGCTCACCTGTTGATTACGGTTCCGGTCAGTCATCTGATTGCTAGGGGACGTTCACTAAGATTGAACGTACTGAGTTTGCGCGAGAACGGGCAACGACCTTTGAAGCAGAACTTGGTTCATTCTTCGGTTTGCCGACGGCCTTGTCGAAGAACAATTTCTTTGTCACTGCCTTCCTTTTGCCTGAGCCCCCCAATCCGGTGGACGGGGTCGTCGACACAGCACGACACTGGATGTTGGTGTGAAGCCTGCAGGCTCTCCAGGCCACTTGTCGGGACAGGTGTATCATGTCCCCTGCCGTTGTGACTCAACAAACATTCTTTTTTGACTGTCTCATGCAATACGATCAAACCAATTCAGTGAAAAGAGAAGAAAATGTGGCCAATGCAGCAACAATACGGGGTGCAACCCATAACATCAAAGCTTTCTCCTTTGTTGGCCTCATACACGCCGAGACCAGCTACCAAGGTTTTCGACTAGGAAACTGTCTCACGTGACTGGCCTTGTCCTCGAACGCCACACAAACGCCACCGGGCGGGCAAATACCCGGCACTGGTAATCGTGAATCCGTGTGCCGTTTGTGCTCGATTGTTCAGGGAAAGAGGACGTCGCGATGCTTGGGAGCTTTAAGTTGCCCACGGGCTCAACAAAAGCTCCATGCGCCTCTGACTTGAGCTCGCATACCTACCTAGTACGTAGATACATAGATATGCTCTCCCGACATCTCATCTAGCTACTGAGAAAGTTCTTGCCATCCCACACAACTATCAACCTACCGAGTTACATCGCAAGAAAATCATCCCAGCAAGGAACAAGACGGTGACTTCATCAACGTCGGCCCCAGACCTCCACTAGTATGCTTCGCCAGGCACCCTCCGTCATATGGTTTCTCATTAGCTCTAACGTGATGGATATGAACGTAGCTCCAAGATTTCCGACTTTTCCAAGATGTTCCCTCATCACGACACGTCGAGTCAGCAAGAATCAAGCAATCTAAGAGGTGCTGATGAAAATGGCCAAATAGGCCAACTACAGCAAGGCATAAGAGTCGGTAGATGCATCGCGGAACAAAATGCCCGCTCCATGGCGGAACGAGGCGAGAATCTTGAAGGGCTTCTCGACAAAACGGGTAGCCTCGAAGAGTCCTCAAGTCTCTTTAGGAACAGTGCAAGTGATGCGAAGCGCCGAATGTGGCGCAAAAATAAAAAGTGGACAATCATTTTGTGTGCTGGGGTTTGCACGGCTGCAGTAGTAGTCATTGTCGTTCCTGTACTTTTACATCGATGAGAGATCAATGCTGCTGGCAAAGGGCACCTAGGAAGAGGGGCGGGCGAATTGGGGCAGCAAAATCATGACTACAGTGCCGGTTTTGTTTTCACTTCTTGTTCTCCTTTTTCATTCCTTCTTCGTGTCCTTTTTCCCTTTTATGTTTTTGTCCCTGAATCCCCTATGGAGCGTTGCATTTGGCAAGAAGCCAGGGTCTAACAGCACCTGGATCCGGCTGGGTGATAACTACCAGACTCTCAGTCATTTTGTCGCGCAGAATACCCCGTATAAGGAGGGAAAACATATAGAATACCATGACGTGGCCACGCCTATTTTTTGGGTGTTTTTTTTTTTTGTGCGATACATTTGTATTATTACTTGTCAGCAGGTGAAAATGCGACGTTCTTTACCCGTGGACGACTAGTTATCGACATACCCCTTATTCGCCGACGAATCGCACTGCATACTCT